CCCGGGATCGAGTCCCGCATCGGGCTCCCTGCTCGGCAGGGAGTCTGCTTCTGCCTCTGACCCTCCTCCCTCTCATGTGCTCTCTCTCTGTCTCAAATAAATAAATAAAATCTTTAAAAAAAAAAAAATAAAACAAGAAAACAACTGCAGAGAAAGATAGGATGGTGGAGACACTCTAGGCCTGCTGCCTATAGAAATGCCTTTGACAAGATACTGAGGGCTCAGTGCTGGACGTGTGGTCCTGACGATGCGGATGAGGGAATTCTAGCATACTCCTGAAGTAGAACCGACGGGCTCTGTCATGGATAAATGTACTGGTCAAAGAGAAGTGGAATCACGACCACTCATGGGTTCTAGTTTGGGTGAAGAAGATGATTAGGCTATGAACTGAGATTGGAAACACATTAAAAAGGGTCAGTTTGGAGTGGAGGAGATAACATAAAATTTCATTTCAAATGTAGGCTTATTATCCTCGTAGAAAGGGTCAGTAGGCAGCTGGAAAAAACAGGTCTTCTGTATGGAGACATGGAAATAAGGATTGTAGGTGTAGAAGATGAAGGTCTGGGTAATAGTGGCCCATGGGGAGGGTGGAGTGAGGGCACCAAGGACCTGATCATTTAGGGGGCTGGAGGAAGGTATGAGTCTGAGGACATAGAAAACACTCAGGAGAGATTCTCTCTCTCTCTCTCCCCTTAATTTTTTAAATTATACACTACCTTGTACTGTGAAGGATTTTGTGAGTTTGACAGAGTAATGTTCTAGAATCTGAGAAAAAGAGGGAGTGATCCGTCGTATCTTACTGCAAAGAGAGTGCTGGAAATGACTGAAAGCCCTCTCACCACATGGGAGCACGAGAAGGCTGCTGAAGGCAGTGTGAATCAGCACTACTTTTCTGAAAACTATTTTGGCAATAAGTATTAAAAGCCTTTCCCTCTTGCTGTTACTCCCCAAGTCCTGTCTACACTTCCTCTTTCCCCTTTGAATAAGTCTGCCCTCACTCTCATCCTTGGATGACTGCAACGGCCTCCCAGCCATGCTCCCTGCCTGCAGTCCCACTGCTCTCCAGTCCATGCTCCCCACTGAAGGCAGAAGTCTTTCTAAAACAAGAAGCCTGTCCCGTCATAGGTCTTCTGCCTAAAACCTTTCTTTTTTTTTTTTTTTTTTTAAAGATTTTATTTACTTGAGAGAGAGTGAGGGAGAGGAAGCAGGGAGAGGGGCAGGAGAGGGAGAAGCAGACTCCCCGCTGAGCAGGAAGCCTGACTTGGGGGCTCCATCCCAGGATGCTGGGATCATGACCTTAACCGACTGAGTCACCCAGGTGCTCCTATCCG